ACTTCACTTCAAAACCAAATTTCTTTTTGTGAATTTTATTTATTTTTACGGTATTTTTAAAAAGTGAAATTAATTCTTACTTATACGATTTAAATGTACTTTTATTGAAATATATACACTTTTGTAATAACTGTAGATCATTCATTTATAGAAAAATTTAACGGAGTTATTGGTTTTAAAGGTTACGTCGTTTTTAGCTTTATTATTATTGTCACAATTACTTAATTATTGCACTTACTTAAAATAAATTTAATTTCAAAAAGGACTTTTTAAATCTAAGTGGTATTCACGATCTCGAGTAATTATAAGTAGCATAAAGCACCAAAAAAATACATGTATTCGAATTGTGTGCTGGTGTTTCCGATTTGCTGAGCTCCTTACTTAAGATCGTGAATATCACTGTTAATTTTTTTCCTTTAGACACAAAATATATGTGAAATTTTATTAGTATATTAAAATTTTAATTAAATATCATTAAAACACCTTCTAAACTCATTTAGAAATTCATTATACCCATAAACACATTATATAAAATATTTTAAAAAACAGTTTTGGAGATATTTGACTCAATAATTTTTTCGGTTGAACATTTTTTTGACGGTAAATATCGACAAAAGTACCTTAACTCATACTATAATTATTCCTTCTTGGCCGAAAAAATCAGATTAGGAATTTACGAGAAATATATCTCAAGCACCCTATACTTGTATTTAATTAGTTGACAATGTACCATATATATATTGTCATCAAATTATCATATGTTTTAACCGTTGTTGAAAGTTGCTTAAAGCTTCTCTATTATTATTGCTAAATGTATCTGAAGAGTTTGAAAATATTTATTTTTTAATATTCTTATATGCAATAATTAATTATCCAAATAATATTTAAGAATATATTTCCTAATAACCTGCATATATTAAATGTGAACCAATTATTTACGAAATTCAAAGGTGATGTTACCATGAAAATAGGAAAAAATTTAGTTAAATTGCAACATAATTCCTCATATTTTTCAGCAATCGACATTTCTGCCGCTACTATTATTACTGTCAAAATTCCAGCCAATTACTGTCTACAACATTTCATCTATCAACACAAATAGTCGCAGGACAAGTAAACCGAGAACATCGCCGAAAGAAAAATGACTACTCAACTTACAAAATTGCCAAATTTTGAAGAAATTTTACAAATTGCAAAGGATACATTTCGTCAAAATTTTGGCTCAGAGCCAGAATTGGGTTGTTGTGCACCAGGACGAGTAAATTTGATTGGCGAACATATTGACTACAATGATGGATTTGTGTTACCTATGGTAAGTAAATGTATACAAGTAATTAGAGGAGACAGTTCGGTTTAGCACTTGGTGTGCACAATTTGTTCCACTAATTAACAACATAAAATTTTACTGTCATTGCGAAAACTCCAGATGAAAGAAAATTAGTATTTATGTCAATTAAATTTATTTATTTTTTTATTTTATTTATTTTTTTATTTTATTTATTTTTCCATATACATTTGATGCGCTCCACAAAAAATGATGAAGGCTTTGCCGATGGTGACGCTCATTGTAGGCAGCCGTTGTCCTGGCGACGAGGCTGATATAATTACATGTAGTGCCAGTTGCGAAGAAAACAAGGAGACAGCTCGTGCCAAATTCAGTTTGACGAATATGGAGCCTGGCAAGACTAAGTAAGTTAAATAAAAACTTTAAGTAACTTAAAGTATTTTCAAGTTCAATTTAAAGTACTTAAATTTTAATTTCTTCCATAATTGCTTTGCTCAGTTCTCATTATTTCTAGGGACTTAACAACTGAAATAGCTCTTCTTTTCTATTCACATTGGACATATTTGCTCCAATTTATGTTGAAAATGTTGATAATTTCAGTTGCTTTGTTTAATTTTGAAATTACAGCTTTTTGCTGATGGAAAAATTGCTTCAAACTGGGTATACCTGATAAGAGGGGACAAGTCAGTTTGTGTCCGGGCGACACATAAACTCAGTGCCACTGCATTGCTATTTCCTTTTATAAGTGCTCGCCCTTCTGAACATTTGCATTTTGAAGAGTTCCTTTTCAAATGTTTGCCTTTCCTTTGTCCTTTTGTTTGCGAAATTGTTGTATAGGGATTGCATAGAACGGAACTCAGTTTGTCTGTTGTGCAGTCAGTAGAAAATTTGGTAACAAAATTATTAAATGGTAAACTATGCATAACTGTATTTCGATAAGGTGCACAATTATGTTACACTGAAAAAAACATCATATCAAAATCGGGAATAATGTTGGCAATCCATAATTCGAAATTATAATATATAGCTATTTATGTAGCTGTATATATATAGCTATTGTATAAGGCAGAATAATCCGCAAAAGAAATATTAGGTGTTATGGCAATCATATGGATTTCTAAGAATTGTTAAAGAGGTTTCAAAAAGCAGTGAACTACAACAACAAAAATTCTTTCATATTATTTTAATTAATTGAATTTTTGGCTGACCATACAGCTGTTTCGAGTATTGCCAAATACCGATCATCAGTGGTCTTGGAATTATTGGAATTATCTATATTCAATTATTCGTAAATAATTTTTTGAGACTGCAAGTACCAAGAGTCGAACTCGTACCCTGCCAAATTAGAAGCTCATTTTTAGATTTGTGAACGTAAAAAATAACGTAGATTAATGCAATGATCTGATCAAGCAATTTGAGTAATAATGAGTAATATAGCAGCTGTGTGTTGTCTTTATTAGTTTTGTATGACGGGTGATTTCATAAAAAATTTGGAATAATGACTTGGAATACTAATATTTGGCATACATCAGAACCCAATAATATTACTGCTGTAATTTTTAAAACCATTATCGTTAAATGGCTTTGTTTATCTTTATAGTAGTGATTTACAAATTTCACATAATCGTAAGTAATATTAAGACTAAGTATAGTGCTTTTAAACGAACACTGGCGGGATCAGCAATTCTGTTGGGTCACAAACAGTCTATATAAAAGAATGTTCTTCATAGGAAAAATGCTACAATTAATTCAAATTTTCACATACGCACATCTTGATTTTTTTCAAGTGTACTTATATTAAAATTTTTGAAAAAGTTCTTATGAATGCACATTTGTCCACCAAAGGTAAAACCGTAGTGACTGAGTAAATAGCAAACAGGAAGTCAATGATATAAATACGCAAATTAAGAGTCTCAGTTTATCTGATGCCAGAAACAGAACTGATAAAAATGAAGTGTTTTCTCTGCTAAAATCTCACTTCAATATAAAGTCCTATGAAAAAAAACTAACCTTAACCTTTGACGTTTTAAAATTTGTGTAGCAGCACTTCTCGTGCAGCCACTCGCTGTGTTTATTAATCCATCACATTTACGTAATACCAGTGATGCTGTGAGGTAGTTTGCTGTGTATCTAGGTAAAATGTGTAATTCAATTTTACAGATGGGCAAACTACATCAAAGGAGTTATACACTATTACAGCAATAAGGTTCAGGGTTTTAAGGCAGTCATTGTGAGCAACGTACCCATTGGATCTGGTCTATCGTCCAGTGCATCACTTGAGGTAGCTACGTTGACATTTTTGGAGCATTTAACAGGACGAAAAGTTGAAAGGTAAATTAAAATTACTTAATGCCTTCTTTTAATTTTAAAGTCTTTATTTTAATGGTTTTTTTATATATTTTTATTCTGGCTGTAGGTCCCTTCATGTTAAATAATAAAACTTTAATATTTTTTTATTAAACTCTATATGTCGATTCTCCTTGAAAGTCATCATCAGGATTATGATCTATAAAGATAATTAGAATAATTTTTAACATTTGTTATGTATTCATTATTAATCATGAAAATTAATAACTAAATAATTATAATAGTTATATTAAAAATAGTTAGAATTATTTTTATAGATCGTAATCCTGATGATGACTCTCGACGAGAATCGAAATATAGAGTTTCACAAAAAAATATAGAAGTCATATTATTTAACAAGAAGGTCCCACAACCAGAATAAAAGTATATAAAAAAACCATTTTAACCATTTTTATTTTAAAATTTGTGCCATTTGTTTTTTTTTTTGTAAAAATTAATTTTTATTCTTTAGTAATGCAAAACGTGCTTTAATTTGTCAAGCTGCCGAGCATAATTATGTAGAAATGCCTTGTGGTATAATGGACCAGACTATTTCCGTATGCGGCCAAAAGAACCATGCTCTGCTATTGGACTGCAGGTAAGATTAACTCAAAATAAATGTTTGAAATACAAATCATCATTCGTAGAAATTCATGAAAATCTGATATGAAGATCTTAAGGGAATAATATTTGGTCTTTTGAAAAAATCATAGCTTAAGGGAGCATTTAAAATATTGAGGTTTCGTGAGAAAATGATTTCAAGACAAAATTGCTTATGGAGTAACTTTAAGAAAATATTTTTTTATGTTAATAATTAGCATTCAAAAGAAAAAACAAACACTTATCCATACATTTAAAAGAAAAGAATAAGTCGTCAATAAAGGCGGAACCATGTTTCATATTCTCCTTACATAGGGTGTGGATACTCTGGGTATGTCTCAAATAATTGATTTTACAATATATAATTGTAAATATAATATAATTTACATAATACAATATATAGAGTTGAAATAATGTGAGTTATTTTTTAAAGTTCTAAGTTTATGTTTGTAAATTTTGAAGTTGGTATGACATAATTACGTCAACATGACCAAACTGACCCAAACTCATGATATGAAAATCCAATAACTTAAGTAAATATTTCTTTATTTTCATATCTGGCTGGTATTAAAATCAGTAGAGACTTAGAAAAACTTTTAATATATACTCAAGGTTTACCATATCTAAATAGGCTTAACTTAGTTATTCTAACAAAAGAAGTCCTGGGTTTTGGATTTGAATAAATTTGTCAATAAATCAAATAAAAAGCTACTCTTTCAAATTCAATGATATGAGTCTAGTCGGCAATTTTGTTATAATATTTTAACAATCATTTCGCTATAATTACATTGAAATGATATATTGTATATATAAGATACTGGAAATTTTTTTGTTTTGATATGAAATTCTTTTTTGGAGTCCAATCTGTATGGAAGTTCTCATAACAGTTGTAAATAGAGTGAGAGTAAGTTTTAAGAAAATTGTTACCAAGAAAAAAAATGCTGTAAGTCCCAAAAATTTTGTGGGGGTAACAACACAGAAGAATAATGTCTAATGGAATCACCTTCAGAGAGTGAATTTAGGAGTTCGGTATATGGTATTCTGGTAAAATGTTAAGCATTAAAAACTCATGGGCTATGTGATACATTTACTTTTTTAGGCAATTGCTGGGCTGTTATGAATGTTTTCATCGAATTGCTTTTATTCGATTGCATCCAAATTCTAAATTAAGTTGATTCGCATTAAAAGAAAAAATTAAGGGATAACTTCAGAAATTGCTTCTTTTCAGTTGTGGGACAGGTCAAATATATTACACATGATGTGATTTGTTATCCTATAGGTAGCGGGTGTTAAAAAAAAAATCGCCCAGTGGGTAGGTGATAGTAGGGTGGTGTTACAAACGGTGATGCTTACAGGGGTATCAAATTATAAAATGACCACGAAAAATTACTTAAAGTACAAAATTGTGTGAGTTATTAAATTTATACTGCTTAAATGAAAATAATAGCAGATAGAAGGGAATTCAGTTTAAATAAAAATATATTTCGATCTGCTATAAAGAATATAATTCGTATCCGAATAGTTACTCAAAAAGGATGAATATGTTACTCTCTTCATGTAGATCACTTTCAAACTTTGAGCAGATAATAATATAATTATTCCCTACAATAGAGAAGAGTGAAACTAAATGGTATTCGGAAATCCTGTTTATGTTGTAAATGATAAAGAATATATAAGTTTATTTCAAACCAATAGTATCATCAGGTGTAAGACAAAATTGGATCAGAATGTGAGTACAAATTTGTCATTGGTTATACCAAGAGTGCACTGTATATGCGTCATTGTTTTAAAAATTGGACAGTTTGCAAAATCCGGAAAAAAATATCAAAATTATTTCCTGAAATACGGGTCTTGTAATTTTATGAAATTAGATTTTCCCAAAATCCGTCCTGATTTGTAGGAGATTCACCCATATACACACAAATTTAAAAATTTTCTTAAAATATAAATTGATTGGAATTCAATGATTAATGATTTCTCCAATTCTTATAATAAAAGAGTAAATAATGATTGTTTAATGACGGTCTACCGGTCTACCGGTCTACGGTTCATTGGATTAAAAATAATAATTATAAAAAAATTATTGAAAATATATTTGTATAGTAGTATGACATTACACGATATTGAAGTATATTTTCTGTTTTAGAGACTTATAAATTGTTTATGTTTACGATGAATATCGAACCTTTTGTATACGAGTTAAATAGAAATTTTTCATAGTTATGCAAAATACTATGTATATAAGAGTATATAGAAAAAAAAGTCCTGTCCTTAGCAGAATACACCAAATATTAAAAAACTATAAGCAAAAAGCTGCGAATATTATACTCGGTGCTTTCTGATTGAGCAAAGCAATGATAATATCCTTTCTGTCAGAACTTCTGCAACAAACACTTGCCATCATTTTTCAAGTCCCTTTTTAGAGCAGAAATTACATTGAATTAGAAATTCTTTTTATTTTTAAATTTGTCACGCAAACTTGAATAAAATAAAACGAAGCTCGACTATGAAAAGAAATTTGCACGCGACCCAAAACTGTCAAACAAATAAAAAATGTTCTGAACAAATTCGCCTTTGTTGGGAGCCGATGTAGTACTTTTGCAACAGTTCCTGATTCTATTTTATTTCTGCAATGTTGACGACGTAACCGCTGCACCATACACAAAATGTCAGGAACATGAGAGAACTTAATATTCAGCGGCGTAAAAAGGCAAATTTGTGATGATATTATTTCTTTTATTTATTTTGGCAACGAGCAAACTTCCAAGTTTCTTATAGTTTTCCAAAAAACTACAATGGCATTTTTTATATAATACGAGTACATAAAAAGGATGCACATATTTTAAATTAAATTTTTATATTATATATGTAGTGAAGTCAAAGAATACTAGAACAAATATTTAGAAATTTATGAAGGAACTTTATCACTATCTAATTATAAGTAAGTAATTGCATTTGTCTTTGTATTGTTTTTGCTAGAATTCCTTATATTATGTGACTTTTATTTATTTGTTCCGAATTATATATCCGCTCTTTATACTCTCGTTTCAGTAATATGTAGTTCCTTACATTTGAACCTATTAAATATTTTCGTCAGAATAATATATAAATATATATGCAATTTGCTCTCAAAATAAATTAGGATATCAAAAAAATGCTGATGTAGTTTTTTGTTATAAACAGACGTAGTCTTAAAGAGTTACAACTTACAAATATCGGCTCTGAAGATGAGTAAGGAGTAATATGAACTAACATCACGTCTGAAAACAAATGCCAATAATGCTACATCGATCATCATTAAAGACTAAATTAAAATTGCGAAATAACTTAAAAACATCGTTTATTATTAAAGGAGATTTAATGGAATGCAGAACAATTTGAGTATTTACGTAGTACTAGCGTCGAATGGTGGTAGAACAGTCGATTGGTAACAACACATTGTGGAATCTATTTTAAGAATGTTTAGAGAAGTGCTGGAATACAGTTACAGATTAGACTCTATTACACATTTTTGAACAAAAAAATTATACTAATAATGTAGGGCCCGTACCGTGATGTAAGTGAGACTGTAGAAGAATAAACAATTAGGAGGTTTGTGATATATCTATAGAAGAAAATGTGATGAGATTCATAAAAATGTAATGTCTTGCGTGTATAATGCCTTAAGAATAGTGCAGATAAGAAATAGATCTGCGCAAGGATAGTTCTACCATAGGTGACTCGACTGTATAGTGGAAGTCATATGAAAAATGCAAGCAGCAAACTGGAAGTAAGTAGCAGTAGAAAGAATAGTATGGAGGACATACACAAATTATATGTGGGTGAAAATATATTAAGTTTGAGTCACCATAATTTCCGAACTCATGTTAACAACATTTGTTAGGCATATAATATATATAAAGGATTTAAAATTTTTATACAACTTGAGCTGATTGGTTCTTTTGTGCTTCTCTAGGGGATTTTTTGTCCACATGTTTTTTCGGGTGAAGTCTTTTATATGGCCTATTTCTTGGTAAATATTATTAATAGACAAGCTCTATTTCAATCGATGGTTTTATTACTGGGCCAAAATAGTCTTCTCCGAAAAGAATACACTATAACCCGAAACAACCTGTATATTAGATTGCTAGTGCCAAGGATATTTAGAAAAACGTACAGGTGTTATTATAACTGCTGATCATTCTTCAACTTATTGACACATTTCCTTATTAAGAAATATTATGAAATGATATTTATAAGAAATAAAATTATGCTTTGAAGCGGCTACTTAGGTTGTAGTTATCTTTCATAGTCTTAGTAGGTATATAAGGCTATAAACACTTTGCAAACTCCGTTATTGTTCTTATTTTATTTATTATTTATTATTTTAAGTTTATTTTAAAGTTTGTGAAAATAAGTATAAGTAACGTTTAAACCTTCTACAATTTTAATACATAATAATAACTACGTATTTATACATACAAAGCAACTTCTGTAGTTTCCTCTTAAATAATAATCTCATATATAAAGCTGCTAATTATGTCTCATTAGTTTCAATATGTGAATTATGTATCTTTTTTTCCTTTATAAAATTTAATTTAATTAGTTTCGTCAGTTGCAAATAATGCATTCCCATTCATATTATGCAGTTAAACCAAGTGTGTGTACAAAAAAGTTTAGGTTTTATTAGTTGAAAAACTCCAATAGTTTATTTGCTTTTTGATAAAAAATGGACACTTGGTAGGCAAATTACGAGTATTATTTTAGTAGTTCAGGTGAAGGAAGAGCAGTAAGGTTACTTTTACAAATGGCATCCAAGTTTGTCTGGGGTATCTAACCCCACTTCATCATTTTCATACAATAAACTTAATTTACAATGCCTTGCCTTGCCTAATGGTATGCACATACAAAGCAAGGATTACCGGAGCAAATGGTAAGGACATTTTACATTCAATAGTATAAAGTTACAGTTGCAAAAGCTTAATTGAAATAGTGGGTTTGGTAAAGAATAGCAAGTGATACTATTGTTTTCAAAATTCAAACACTGATATAAATGGCAGATGGCCTGCACAAAAACCAGAAAGCAAAAAATATTTGGTAACTATTTCGTTAGCGCTGCATTTGCTGTCTAGGTGCAACTTTTCAACTTCAGATAGCGCACATACTCCCAACGCTGAGTATAAATATTTGAGGCTTTCATTCTGCAATCATACTCAGCTCATATGCAAACTAATGCATTGTTCTATTCCATATATGGTTGGTATATGTGGGGGCTTATAGTAATCCCCAGACACATCATTATATTCAATTTGAATTTTATTTCATTACAAAATTGCATACAAATTATAGAGAATGAACCGTTGGATTTGGTTGAGCAGCAGTACCAGTTGCTGATTTAAAATAAGTTTTGTTAATCCTTTTAATTGCAGATCGTTGGAAACATACCAAATTCCATTTGTTGCCAGTGAAAAAGACCTCGTGGTTCTAATTTGTAATTCAGGTGTGCGGCATGAGTTATCAAAGAGTGAATATCCAAAAAGGCGCGCACAATGCATGCAGGCACTCGAGTTAATGGCGCTGAAGAGCTATAGAGACGCAACAGAAAGCAGCTTGTCAGGTAATTAATGCATTTACTACATCTACATCCACCTTTGCTAGAGCCAGTGCCAGTGCCAGTGCCAGTGCCAGTGCCACTGCTACTACCACTGCATCTGCCGTTTAAGTGCTGCAGTTAAGACGATTCTCATTGTGTGAGTTTGTCATTTTGTCTTAAATTCTGGTGTTCACTGGCTTTTGTACATGGCAATGCACAGTGAAGTACTAAATATGCAAAATGCCTTGTTTGCTTCTTGTTGAAGTGGTGAAAACACTTCAGACGTGCCAAGAGGTGATGTCTAAGAAAACGCTCACACTTTCGGTAAAGTGATGCTACCAATTTAAACTTGTTGTTGCTTACCTATAAGTTGCATAAAGTTGACCTGAAGTGAATTCTTGACAATTTTCCACACACACACACACACACACACATCTACGTAAACATCGAGTTTTTCAAATCTTTTTTTTACTTTGAATAAGATACAGGGAAAGTTGTCTTGACAGATTATCTTAAGAGATTGAAGAAGCTTTTCAAAGGTAAATTGTTTAACTAACGATTTTAGTATCTGTTCTGTAATGCAGTGTTAATTTTAATTTAATTGATTTAAATATACTAAATTCAATTATTTTAATGTTCAATTAATTAATTAATTAGTAAATTACTTAGGATAATTTGTAATTGTTAAGTCTGAAAAAATCACTAAATCTTGGTGATAAAAATTCTAAAACTAATCCACAACATCATTTAGTATTTAAATGAATCATATACACATTGAAAATGCACTCATTACTAAGCACATTTACTTTCGTCTTCGCCTACTTATAGAAACACCGCAAACCCATAATTACCTAGCAAAATTTCAATTTATATTCATTTAATTGCAATCTATTATTATGATTAGGGGTTAAGATGCACGGCTACCACAATGCATCTGTTCTGCGTATTTGCAAACAAACAAATTCATACAGTACGCAAAACAGCATTGTTGTTGTTGCAAATTTGTTGGTTTTTCTTTTATGTATAGTGCAATTGTATGGTTGGTTTTTATTCTGTCAGAAATATATTTTACGCAGCAATGAATACCGAGGACAAGTAATAAAAATTAAACCACAACTAATAATGAAAATGTCAACACCAAAGATAAAGAAATGAAAAAAGGTTCTAATAATAGACCTGAACATTTTAGTTAAAATCCTATAGGTGTAAATAAATATTTATATTTTTGTTGAACTTAACAATAAAATATAAAGAGTATTTTAAAAGCAAGTAGCATAATTTTACAACAGAAATCGTGTTCTTATAATGAAATTGCATAAGGAACTGGCGCCATCTTCAAATTTAGCTCAAAATGTCCCCTGCGGATGGGTCTCCCGATTACCCTTCTTGCTCTCGTACGTTGTTTAAGCGGTGCCTGATGACTAGCAAAGCATCTTTGCGTTATGTTTAGATTGGGTGGCTCAAAATTCATTATCATAAATCATGATAGATCCTATTTGTGCTTTGCAGGTTTTTTTTTTTAAATTTTTATTACACAACACACAACCATAATGCGCTTATTCTGCAAATTGCTTTATCATCTATACTAAGTTCTTCATTTAAAATTGAAACGAGGTACTTTAATTTGTGGATAGCTGTTCTTAGATACAGATCAATGTTTCAATTAATATAAGTAGAAATAATCCGTTCGGTTTTATATTTATTTGTATTTTATTGATAACTAAGATATGATTTCAGTTGCTTAGTTTCCATTCCAAAGTATCAAACTAGTATCAGCACAGTGTCATTGGATTAAAGAATGTAGCATGCTATCTTGTGTTAGATGTATGCTGTGAAGAGATCCATGATTCATAACGTCAATTGGGCGTGCGTATTCGCTTCATACATATGTTCTATATGCTTAATTTAGTATAATGTTTTGCTTTTGTATGTTGTTTCCAGATCTATAAAAATCAATGTCAATGTTTCCCTTTTTTTTTGACACTTTTCAATTAGATCAACGATTGAGTGAACAGCATTCATTGTTATGAGACTTTAAAGCTTTAATAATTTATATGAAGCAACAGTACATTTTTATGTTGCTTTATAAAAGCCGCAAGCTATATAAAAATTGTAGTAGATCAGAGAACTTTGTATATTGTTACTTTAGTTTTTTTATTTTATTTTCATTTGTAAAAAGTTTTATTTCAATTTTTGGTTTAAAACTTAACTTTGACTGTGTGACGCAGACAATTAAAATGCTGTCACCCCCTTTTTTGTATTAGTCCCAATAGAAAAGGAGGCTGGCTAAATCTTTTGAATTGTTTATACCTTTTCCATCCTTTGCCTTTTTGGTGTTTTTCTTTTTCCGATTTTTCTGACTTTTTACTAAAAGCTTTCTAGGATATTTTTCTAATTTTCTTATGGTTTATATTTTTTGACACTGATTTTCTTTTACAAAATTTGTTGCTTCATGTGGGCGTCTGAGTTACATGTCAAAGCATGTTTCTAACGACATAACCTTTCACCATCCTACTTCTGTTTTTTGTATCTTTTCAGTTTGTCTACTTTATTTTGATGTATGAAAAAGTACGTTTCATATAATTACTCTTCATAGTTGATTGTGGCGTCATTTATCCTGCAGCGTTTGCTTTACACTAACAAACACAATTTCGTTCACATGTGTTGACACACGCTTTTCAAATTCATTTCATTGACGCCTGTAACTCTGTTATAGATACTTTTGAAACAGCAAGATACCAAGTGCAAACAGAAATGCTTTCAAAGATATTTATTTATTTATCCACAATAGTTCAATGTGCCCGGGGCTATGTCTGTCTGGTGCAAATGCAATATTACTCTCATTTGGCGTAATTATTTTGCCAAACTAAATCAAAAAAATAACTGATATAAATTTTTTGAGTATCCACAACTGCAAAATATATCTGTTATTCTATATTCGAAGTAATTTCACTAATTGTTCTGAAATAAATTTTTAACTGACTTCGTCCTAAAAAGTGCAACAAGAAATTTCAGTTTCTTAATTACTTTTTAATAATTTATGAAACATTTTCGTGTTTGGCAACTTCGAAGAAAGAAGCGAGTTAAAGTTTTCTATCCTTTTTGTTAGAATTTTAATTAGAGATGGTAATTCCGTCAGCATGGAATTTTAAATGGATTTTCGTGAAGTCCATTTTCAAGAGACAGCAAATGTTAAAATTCCTAAACGAGTTAGTGAATTCATTCATTATTTTTTTTTCATAATCAATTTTTTTAAATGGACTGCTTAAATGGACTGTTTAAAATTTTAGCTTTTTACTGCTTAAATAATTCATTTTTTAGCTCTGTGAATAATACCTCATACAAATAATTATATGTGCATCATATTTTTTCAAAATTAAAAAAAATTAAAATATTTAAAATTTTTTTTGGGTATGTGGTTTTATTTATAATATGATTTAAGAAATAAAAAAACAAGAAAGTACCAAATTTTAATTAAATTTATAATAAAAATACTTATTTAAAGATTACTTTCATAGTAAATAATTTTTTTATTTTGGTCTCTTAATTTAATAAATGTTAATGTAATTCATTTTTTTTTAATATTAATAATTAATAGTTTAACCTTTGTAATTTAAAACTAAATTGAGGCGATTTGGCATAGAATTGACTAATGAATGTAAAACAGATATGTCAATTTTAGCCCACTCATGTTCTATTACCGATTTAAGGTCTCGTGCCGTATCAAACTGTCTTCCATTTTTAAAAACACGGGCAGAAAGAGTTCCCCAGAGATTTTCAATGAGATTTAAGTCAGGAATCAATGCTGGCCTTTTGTATACGGGAATTTTTCTGTCACCAAAAAAGAACTTTGTTACCTGTGCAGTGTGAATTGATGCATTATCCTGCTGATAGGTCCAATTATCACCATATAAATTACCGGCAAATTCCACTAACTCAGAGTCCAGAAGCTCTACATACATGCTGGCATTCATTTGAGTAGATATGAAGCATACAGGGGTCTTTCCTTTGTAGCAGAACGCAGCCCATATCGTAACAGTCCCACCACCAAAACCTTGCTTGTTACAGGATACCCGATCCTGTCGTAAATCACGCCAATATTTTTTGCAATTGTCTGGGCCGTCTAAATTAAATTTTTTTTCATCTCTAAAGACAATAATGTGAATAATGTGAATAATTTTATTCCTTGTGATTTGAAGTGCCATATGGGCCCCTATTTCTTCGCTGCTCATCTAATCATCCACTGCTAGGCGTTGAATTCGGCGCTTGCACCGGTTATCGATTTTGGTTTTCCGGCCACTACGTGGAGCTGTACCGTATTCCGCCGAGTTTTTCAGGAACCTGGAAACACAGTTCCTATGCCGATTGAGTCTAGTCGCTATTTCGGCGATCTTGGAGCCGTTTTTATGCATTCCCATGATGATTCTCTGTTCGTAATCAGACAAACTAGAACCACGCGGTATTATAGCTTAGTAAGATTAAATATTTTTATAATTTTATATTTTTATAAATAGTAAATTTACAGTAAGGGTGCAAACCAATTTCTGCAAATAAACTGTTCTCCGCGACACAATATTCAAAAATGTTCAGCTAGAAGTGTTTTGCACATATAATTATTTACTATGGAATACGCAATGTACGATCATATTTTTAAAGTAACGGTACAGCGAAGAACAGTACAATGGCAGAATTTTTGTTGCATAGCAAGCACAACATTCTAAGTAACAATTTTGCATTTTTCAAAATTCGAAATACCAACTTATTTGAAAATATTTCTTGAAATTGATATTTGCTTCTGCTAAACCTACGTAATATTAGCTGATATGGGTTTTGCATTTTATATATATAGTCTCTAAAAAACAAATCCATATTCTCTTACACTAGCAAGCTGTTGAAAGATTGTTTTTTCATATATAGAAATAAGACGCTTCTCAACCTTAGTTAATTTATCTTAAAATTGGCTAACAGAATGTGGGAATAAACATAGTAATACCTTATAATTAAAAAAGAACGAGAATTTAAAA